AACTACTTTACTAACCATGATGTCCCTTTCTAGTGACTGGTTTATTTCAGTGATGTCCAGGGTTAGTGAGCTGAAATTTACCATTCTTGCATCCGAGGCACATTCTGGCTATATGAGGGGCTTTTTTTCTTTTTTTAAGTTTTCATTGTGAATATGAGTGATAGCTTACATGGAGAACATCAGTTTTACATTTTTACACTCATCTTATTGTATTTCGTTTCATTGAAGTGATTACAATCCCCTCCGTGCATCATCATTCAACAGTATTTGCTTCCGTTCCCTCTTTTCTTTGTGGGGGAGGGTGGTAATGTACACCAAAACACTCAGGAATATATGATAATTTAAACAAATAAAAGGCACATTCTGCAAGCCTGCCTCCTGGCCGCCAACACACAGCCTTTCTCTTCCCATGAGTCTAGAGTCCTCAACTGTTCTGTCTCTCCACGTCCTCATCATTGCCTCCGTCTCTGGTGTCGCTACTTCTCTAGATAGGGTCCCACGCTCCACTCCCACTCTTCTCCCTTGATGGTTCTAGGGTCCTCTGTTTCTGAACTGTAAGATTAACTACTCCCCCATTTTTCCTACAAAACTTCTGCCTCTACAATTGTGACAGTCGCAATTAGTCATGATAATAATTACTCACTATTGAATCCTAAGAGTCTTATCCCCATCTCCTTTCACCAGACGTGTCTAGACAGGATGAAAACCACGCAGAGGGGATCCTGCACCCCTGCCCCCCTGCACACTCTGAAACTAAACTTCCTCTTGAAAACCTGTAAGTCAGTTGCTTTGTGCCTTTATGTTGTTGTTAAATATCATCGAGACGATTCTGATCCATAGTGACCCTGTATAGGGTTTTGAGGAGCAGCTGGTGAGCTTGAACTACCAACCCTTGCAGTTCAAACGGCTTTGCAATCTGATGCATTAACCCACAGTGCCAGCACCCCCTATATAAAAGGGGGCTTTTAAAAGCTCATGGAAAAAGGCAGCAATGAGAGAGAGAAGACGAAGGGCTGGTTGGTCCAGTATATGGTGAGACCTGGGAACACCTAAGCCCATGGACAAGGACATAGCCACAGAAGTCTAGAACTGAGAGTGAAGCTCCAGCTGATATGAAGTGAGGGGAGATGCACAAGAATGCCCAAACTTGCAGACAGTACACATTTGACCTAGCCTTGATGGCTTGCTAATCAAAACATGACTTGTTGTTGTTGTTA